TTTGACTAATTCTTCCAATCCGATGGCTGAGATTAAGTCTGAGAAAAGAGAGGGAATTTTAAATAGAATGAAACGCGGCGTTTCATTTAAACCGCTTCTGGGCTTGGCTTTCTATTCCCACCCCCCTTTATTTCTGGCCCAATATTTTCAACTGGCACGCCTTACTTAATGCACCTCCCTCCCTTAATTCATTTAATTGTTTTTATTTTCTTTCTTTTATTTTGTCTGTTTTGATTAATTCATTAAAAATTGGAAATTAATTCTTTTTTAATTCCTTTTTTTTCTATGATTAGATTAAAGTGTGTAGAAAATTATAAAAATAAAAATAGGATTTTATTTTTAGGTTTAATATTTTTAATAGATTTTCCAAATAAATAGCTTTTCAATTGTTTAAATTTGGTATCTGATTTTGTAGGATTTATTTTAGAACCTCCCTTTAGGGTTTTTAATCCATTCTTTTTTGTGCAATTAGATGATGATTCATAGTTCCCCATAGGTTTTTTTCTAGATTTTTTAGAATTAATTTTGATTAGTTTAATTAGGGTTGATTTAGGGTATCCTAATTAGGGTTTAGAATGTGTTTGGGTGATGATCCCCTTTCTTTGATTGAGTTTTATCTTGATTCTTAGGTAGAGACCTTTGTAGATGTTATGAGTAGGTGTTGAGGACCCTTGTGAATATTTGTTGGATTTTTCCCCATTAGTTTAGTATTTTTAGGCATTTTCTGAAGTTGCCTATTGATTTTGTCTGTGCTGTGGTTATCTGTTCATCTCTGGGGGTTGTTTTTGGGGAATTGGTTGTGGGGCTTGTGTTATCTTAAGGATATTGATGGAGAGCATCATGGAGTGAAGATTGTAGATCAAGATTCAGAGACCCAGAGCCTGGCTGATGCCCTGTCTGTGAGGTTTGAGATCCTGAAGTTTGGAGGAAGTTCATGGTACTTTCCTGAGGAAGGCACTATGAATGACTTTCATTCTTTCTTCTCACCTCTTTCTTAAGTATCCAATGATGTTGGAGCCAACTTGTGAGTTTAATTTCTCCTGAGGAGGAATGTAAACTGATCACATGTTGTTGAGCCACATGGGATACAACTCCTAAGTGGAAGCCTCCTAGTACTTTCCTGAGGAAGGTCCTATGGGTCTATTCACTTAGTTCCATTAGTTTATCTAGGATTTCTTAAGTATCCAATGATGTTGGAGCCAACTTGTGAGTTTAGTTTCTCCTGAGGAGGAATGTAAACTGATCACCTGGTGTTGAGCCACATGGGATACAACTCCTAAGTGGAAGCCTCCTAGTACTTTCCTGAGGAAGGTCCTATGAGTCTATTCACTTAGTTCCACTAGTTCAGATAGGATTTCCTAAATATCCAGTGATGTTGGGGCCTCCTTGTGAGTTTAATTTCTCCTGAGGAGGAATGTAAACTGATCACAGTGGTTGAGCCACGTAGGATATGATTCCTGAGTATACACCTCCTAGTGCTTTCCTGAGGAAGACACTATGAGTCTGCTTGCTTAGCTCCCTTTCTTTGGTAAGCTTGTTCTGAAGCTTGAAGACTGGGATTGATTTCTCCTGTTTAGGGTTTTGCTTTAGGGCTTTGCTTAGATTTGTTCAGATTCTGTGATTAGGGTTAGGACTAGAGAGTAGATGATTCTTTCTCAAGCATGTGTGTTTGTTGCCTGATGGCATCTCATTTCTTTTATCTGTTATTGCTTGATAGCATGTTGTTTATTTTCAGTATGATTACTGTTATTTCATGACTGGCTTGAGGTCGAGACGAGCTTGTGGAGGCTGAAGCCCCACACACATTTCCTCCCTCACTTGCATTGCATGCATTTTACTGTTAAAGCTGATGCTTTTGTCTGTTTTGGTGTATCATTGACATGATCCCTTAGGGCTCTCATTTCTTCTGATGAGGATTTGATGATAGACTTTTAGGTTGAAACCTATGCATGACAACATCTAGGAGTTCCCTGTTCAAACTTCAACCATAGGATGAATCCATGGCATGATAACAGTAGGACTTGATAGTCTCCCTCCTAGTTGAGTTTTATCCCGTAGTTTCCCGAACTACGTTTGCTCTGATCTTTCATACCAGATGAAAGTACGTAGGCATAGGATGCGATATCCTAGCGAGCAACCTTTCCCCCATAATCCTGTAGTTAGCCGAACTACGTTGACTCTGATTTCTCATTCTCTGATGGGAATACGTAGGCATAAAGTGCAACGCTTTGCCGAGTCATTTTTTCTTTTCTTTTTCAGCCAGCCTTGACAGGTAGATAGATTATAACCAACCCGTCCAAGTAAACAAACAAGCGAGGATCCCGTCGAGTACGACGGACGTGAGGGGTGCTAATACCTTCCCCTTGCGTAACCGACTCCCGAACCCAGACAATGGTTGCGACGACCTTGTCTTACCCTTTTTCGTCAGGTTTTTCCGATCGTTTCCTTTCCCGCTCTGAGGGATAAATAACGAAAGGTGGCGACTCTTCTGTCATGCCGGCACCTTATTTTCGCGCAAGCGACAATATGGCCCGATAAACTTCGAATTCAACTTCTTGGACTTCAATGCACGTCCAACACCCGTCACTGGGTTAACCCTAAAAAATACATGGTCACCCTCACTGAATTCCAACTCTTTCCTGCGGTTATCATAATAACTCTTCTGCTGATCCTGAGATGCTTTCATCTTCTCACAGATCATCTGCACTATCTCAGTAGTCTGCTGTACCAACTCTGGTCTCAGCACTACACGCTCACCCGACTCATACCAACATAAAGGAGTTCTGCACCTCCTACTATAAAGAGTTTCAAACGGTGCTATCCCGATACTGGAATGGTAGTTGTTGTTGTACGTGAACTCAACCAAAGGCAAATGAGTATCTCACGTACCACCTTTCTCTAACACACAAGCCCGCAACAAGTCCTCTAAAGTATGAATAGTCCTCTCCGACTGCCCATCCGTCTGCGGATGATAAGCTGAACTCAGCTTCAACTCAGTGCCCAAAGCCTCTTGCAAACTCTTCCAAAATACAGAGGTGAACCTCGGATCTCTATCCGACACAATGCTCAACGGTACACCATGCAATTTTACAATCACCCGAACATAGATCTCTGCTAGCTTCTCCAACGGAAAACTAATACTAATCGGCACAAAGTGTGCAGACTTCGTAAGCCGATCCACAATCACCCAAATGGCATCAAAGCCTCTCGCCGTATTCGGCAAACCCGTGACAAAATCCATAGTGATATAATCCCACTTCCAAACCGGAATCTCTAACGGTTGCATCATCCCA